ACTGAGGAAAGAATCAGTGAATTTGAAGTTAGGTTAGAAATTATCCAAACTGAAATGCAGAGAAAGAGTCAAAAAGAAAAAAAAAAAAAAGAAAAAAGAAAAAAAGAACAGAGTATGCAAGAGCTTTAAGACAATAACAAAAGGTCCCATACACATGTAATTGGACTCCTCAATGGAAAAGAGAAAGAACAGGGCAGAAGAAACATTTGAAAAGATAATGGCAAATATTTTCCAAAAATAATGGAAGATGTAAAATCAAAGATCCAAGAAGTTCCAAGAACACCAAACAGGATTTTTCAAGTAAATAAATGAAACGTCACATTCAAACTGCTGGAAACCAAGCATTAGGAGAAAATCTTGAAGGCAGTCAGAGGGAAATGACATACTACATTAAAAGGAACAAAGACATTAATTATAGAAGAACTTCTCATCAGAAGTCATATAAGCCAGAAGGGAACAAAGTGACATTTTTAAGGTGCTGAAAGAAAAATAAAATCCTCAACTCAGGACTCTACTAAGGGGACAATATCCTTTAAAAGTGAAGGAAAATAAAACAATGAGATACCACTATATGTATATTAGAATGACTAAAATCCAAAACACTGACAACACCAAATACCAGCGAGGATGTGAAGCAACAGAAACTCCAATTCATTCCTGTTATGAAGGCAAAAGAGTACAGCCTATTGGAAGGTAGTGTGGCAGTTTCTTACAAAGCTAATCATAGTCTTACCATATGATCCAGCAATCATGCTCCTTGGTATTTACCCAAAGGAGTTGAAAAGTTACATCCACATATAAACTTGGACACAAGTTTACCATAGCTTTATTCATAATTCCAAAAAATTGGCAGTAACCAAGATGTCTTTCAATAGTTTAATGAATAAACAAACTGTGGTAAACACAAAATGTATTAGATACCTAAATGTTAAACCCTAAACCTATAAAATTTCTAAAATAAAAATAGGAGAAAGTATTTGTGACTTGGGTTAGGCAAATATTCTTAGTTACAACACCAAAATCACGATCCATTAAAAAAATTAATGAATCGTTAAATAGGATAAATCAAAATTATAAAATTCTCTGTAAAAGACACAATTAACAGAACGAAAAGGCAAACCACATTCTGAGATAAAATATTTGCAGAAAACACATCTGACAAAGGACTTGCATTCAGAATATATGTCCAGAATATTAAAAAGAATCTCAAAACTCAAGAAAGCAAACAACACAATTTTTTTTAATGGCAGAAGACTTGAACACACACTTAACCAAAAAAGATATAAAAATGGCAAATAAGTACATGTATGATGCCCAACATTATTAGCCATTATAAAAATGAAAATTGAAAATATAGTCACCTCGGGCTTCCCTGGTGGCGAAGTGGTTGAGAGTCCGCCTGCCGATGCAGGGGACATGGGTTCGTGTCCCAGTCCAGGAAGATCCAACATGCTGTGGAGCGGCTAGGCCCATGAGCCATGGTTGCTGAGCCTGCGTGTCCGGAGCCTGTGCTCTGCAACGGGAGAGGCCACAACAGTGAGAGGCCCATGTACCACACACACACACAAAANAAAAAAGTATATATATATATATATATATATATATATATATATATATATATAGTCACCTCATACTTGTTAGAATGGCTATTATCAAAAAGACAAGAAATAACAAGTGTTGGAAAGGATGTGGAGAAAAGGTAACCTGGTGCACTGAAAGTGGGAATGTAAATTGGTGCAGCCTCTATGGAAAACAGTATGAAGGCTTTTCAAAGAATTAAAAATAGAACTACCATAGGATTCAGCATTTCCACTTCTATGTATTTATCTGAAGGAAATGAGAATGCTCACTCAAAGGGATATCTGCTCCTTCATGTTCATTGCAACATTATTTACAAAAGCCAAGACATGAAAATAACCTAAGTGTCCACTGATGGATGAATGGACAAAGAAGATGTAAGATAGATAGACAGATATAGATACAATATTATTCAGCCATAAAAAAGGAAATTTTGCCATTTGCAACATGCATGGACCTTGAGAGCATATGCTAAGTGAAATAAGTCAGACAGAAAGACAAATTCCATGTGATCTCACTTTTATGTGGAATCTAAAAAGAAAAAAAATGATCTCATAATACAGAGAACAAATTGGTGGTTGCCAGAAGCAGGAGATGGGGAGTGTGAGAAATGGGTGACAGTGGTCAAAATGTACAAATTTCCAGTTAAAAAATAAATAAGTCCAAGGGATGTCATGTACAGCATGGTGACTCTAGTTATTAATACTGTATTATATATTTGAAAGTTGCTAAGAGAGTAGATCTTAAAAGTTCTCATCACAAGAAAAAACAAATTTGTTACAACATGTGGTGATGGATGTTAACAAGACTTATTGTGGTGATCATTTCACATTATTATATACCAGCAGTCCCCAACCTTTTTGGCACCAGAAACCGGTATCGTAGAAGACAATTCTTACACTGACTGGGAGGGAGATGGTTTCAGGATGATTCAAGTGCATTACATTTCTTGCATACTTTATTTCTATTATTATTACATTGTAATATATAATGAAATAATTATACAAAGCAATTGATTTATTATGGTATCTGTGCAGTCAAACCTCTCTGCTAATGATAATCTGTATTTGCAGCCGCTCCCCAGTGCTAGCTAGTATCACTGTCTCAGCGCCACCTCAGATCATCAGGCATCAGATTCTCGTAAGGAGCATGCAACCTAGATCCCTCACATGTGCAGTTCACAGTAGGGTTTGCACTCCTATGAGACTCTAATGCTGCCGCTGATCTGACAGGAGGCAGAGCTCAGGCAGTTATGCAAGTGATAGGGAGTGGCTGTAAATACAGATGAAGCTTTGCTTTCTCGCCCGCTGCTCACCTCCTGCTATGAAGGCTGGTTCTTAACAAGAGGTTGGAGACCCGTGTTAAATATAATACATTGAATCATTATGTTGTAACCTGAAACTAATATAACATTATATGTCAATTATATCTCAATTTAAAAAAAATTAAAAAACAAAACCAAAAAAACCCATAATGAGATATAGTACCGAGTGCTGGCAAATATGTACTTGGAATTCTCTTACATCACTGATGGGAATGCAAAATGTTACAGCCTCTTAGAGAAGTTTAGCAGTCTAATAAATTAAACATACACATACAATATTACCATGTAGTCCTACTCCTATGTATTTACTCATGATAAATGAAAACTGGTTTACACAAAAAAATTGAACATGAATTTTTAGTGTTTTTTATTCATAATCCCCTATGCTGGAAATAAATGAAATATCCACTGGTGAATGGAGAAACCAACTGTGGTATATCTATACAATGGAATGCTGCTTAGCAATAAAATGAACTGAACTACTGATACACACAACATCATGGATAAATCTTATACATATTTTGCTAAGTGAAATATACAAAGGCCATGAGGGAAATTTGAGGGGTGACAAAACTGTCACATATCTTCACTGTGATGGCAGTTACGTGACTGTGCATTTTGCCAAAACTCAGAACTCTTAACTTTTACTCCGAAATTTTCTCTACTTAGCATTAAATTACTTATTTTCTCTCAAATTCTTTAGAAACAAAGAAGCATCTGCATCTTCTACTCATACTTTTATAGAACAGTAATTAAACATCTGAGAATGATGGATACGATTTGAAATACTGTGAAAATAGAGAATTATTAGAACATAATTTGTTGGTTCATTCTCTCTAATATTTATTTTTAAAAATACCCACAGAAGAGGGGGGACCTTCAAGATGGTGGAAGAGTAAGACGTGGAGATCACCTTCCTCCCCACAAATATGTCAAAAATACAACTACATGTGGAGCAACTCCTATAGGACACCTACTGAACACTGGAAGAAGACCTCAGACTTCCCAAAAGGCAAGAAACTCGCCACATACCTGGATAGGACAAAAGAAAAAAACAGAGACAAAAGAATAGGGAATGGGACCTGCACATTTGGGAGGGAGCTGTGAAGGAGGAAAAGTTTCCACACACTAGGAAGCCCCCTCACGATTGGAGATTGGGGTGGGCAAGGAGGAAGTCTCGAAGCCACAGAGGAGAGCTCAGCAACAGGGTTGCAGAGGGCAAAGCAGAGAGATTCCCACACAGGGTATCAGTGCTGACCACCACTCAACAGCCTGAGAGGTGTGTCTGCTCACCTGCCATGGGGGGTGGGAGCTGGGAGCTGAGGCTCAGGAATTGGAGGTCAGATCCCAGGGAGAGGACTGGGGTTGGCTGCGTGAACACAGTCTGAAGGGGGCTAGTGCACCACAGGCAGCCAGGAGGGAGTCCGGGGAAAAGTCTGGAACTGCCTAAGAGGCAAGACACCACTGTTTCAGGGTGCACGAGGAGAGAGGATTCCTCCACTGTCTGCCCACAGAGGCAGAGTACAATGTAAATGAGCACCAGAGACGGGCACGAGCCACGGCTAATCGCACGGACACCAGAGATGAGCGTGAAATACTAACACTTCTGCTGCAGCCACCAAGAATATACATACATATATATATATATATATATATATATATATATATCCTGAAAATATTCAGGAAAAAACGCATACGCACTTTTTGACCAACCAAGCAAGCGGGCAATGTAAATCTGCACTACAAAGAAGTCTCACTTCCCACCGGTCCAAAGGGCCATCCAAAAACAGTGTAAAAACCAGAGAGGCAGGACAGGCCATGGAGAACAGGGAGACTTGTTACCCTGATGCAAGGGATGTAAGTCGCCAACAGCCACTCTGGAGAAGGGTATGGTGTTTCCTGAAACATCTAAAAAACAGAGCTACAGAGCATAGGGCACTTCCACTGAAGGGCATATATCTTGGGAAAACTAAAAATCAACAAGACACAGCCACCCCAACGTTTAGGGCTGCTCTGTTTACAAAAATCTCGACTTCGGTACACCTTAAATATCCCAGGAAAGAGAAAAGTGGTTAAAGAAGTTATGGTACTTATGTACAATGGAATATCACTCAGCCATGAAATCAATGTCATAACGTCAGTAGCAGCATAATGAATGGATTTAGGTACAATGATTCTAAGTGAAATAATTCACACAGAAAAAGAAACTTATATCACTTATAGAGGGAATATAAACATGGCTACACATGAGGTGAATTACAAAACAGAATAGAGTCACACATTTAGGAAAAGCACTTATGCCTGCTTAAGGGGAAAACTGAGGTGGGGTGATGAATACAACCAGAGTTTGAAATTAGCACAGATACCGTCCCATAAACCAAATATGTAATAGACAAGACCTACGCTTTGCTCAATGAACTGGACTCAACACCCCCTATGCAAAGCAGAGGAATATACCTGCCTAGTAAAAATCTTAAAATATATGTGTCTCCATAAGGGAATCAAGTGTGTGTAGACGGGAATAAACACAGCAGTGAAAATTAGCTAAACCCCATTATAAAAATAAATTAAAAAAAAAAAAAAAAAAGAAAGTGAAAAGAGAAAAATTCTTACAAAATTCGTTCAGGGGCTGTGATGAACCCTGGATTGACCATATCTACACCCACAGCTGGATGAGACATAAGGCTGGACACTTGGGGCTGAGAGGATTGGTGAGGTTGGGTGAACAAATTCAGACCCTTTAAAGCAATACTGCATGTCCCCATTCCATGGGTCCCAACTCTCAAGGTATAAAGAAATCTTCCTACAGCTAAAACATGCATGGGAAACCCAAAGGATGGTACACTATGTGATCGGGAACGGTTTCTAAAACGCACCTCATTTTTCCTCTCCTGGAGCTCGGGATCGCCATTCCAGCTGCTTTACTGAAAATCTACCCATTAGGAGAGTCAGCGCATTTAACCTCCTGTTTCGCACAATCTGCAATTAGTGCGGAGGATGAACGGGATGAGGGGGAACCAATGAGAGAATATCTGTAGGCGTTTGGATGGGCAAATGTCACTCTAATTTCCCATCAGGAAGAAGAATTAACCAAAGGCACAGCCTGTCGCCCCGGAACCAGAATAGGGCCTGGAGCAATCCAGCGGTTTTGTGGACAGCTCACAAAAAAAGCGAGTTGAAAAATGGAACTCAGGGGCACTGGAATTCACAAACCTTCAAAGTTACAAAGGAGATCTATCGTCGAAAAATATATTGAGGTAAGGCCAAGAAAAGGATTTGAAACCAAGGCAGAATTGCAGGAAACAGTTTTCAAGAGGTATATTGGAGTCTCCTTTAAAGCACATGAAAAGCGGAAGAACTTAAACAATGATGCAGTTGGCCAAAAAGGGCGTATGTGTTTTTTCCTGAATATATTCAGGAAAAACCTCATACGCCCTTTTTGGCCAACCAAGCAAGCAGGCAATGCAAATCCGCACTACAAGGAAGTCTCACTTCCCACTAGTCCAAATGGCCTTCTGAAAAATGTGTAAAAAGCAGAGAGGCAGGACAGGCCATGGAGAACAGGGAGCCTTGTTACCCTGATGGGCGGGAAGTAAACTGCCAACAACCACTCTGGAAAAGGGTATGGTGTTTCCTGAAACATCTAAAAAACAGAGCAACAGAGGATAGGGCACTTCTACTCATGGGCATATATCTTGGGAAAACTAAAAATCAACAAGACACAGCCACCCCAAAGTTTAGGGTTGCTCTGTTTACAGAAACCTCGACTTCGGTACACCTTAAGTATCCCAGGAAAGAGAAAAATGGATAAAGAAGTTGTGGTACTTATGTACAATGGAATATAACTCAGCCATGAAATCAATGTCATAAGGCCAGTAGCAGTATAATGAGTGCATTTAGGTACGATGATTCTAAGTGAAATACTTCACACAGAAAAAGAAACTAATCATAAGATATCACTTATAGAGTGAATGTAAACATGGCTACACATGAGCTGAATTACAAAACAGAACAGAGTCACACAATTAGGAAACGCACTTATGCATGCATAAGGAGAAAGGTGAGGTGGGGTGATGCATAAAACCAGAGTTTGAAGTTAGCACAGATACCGTTCCATAAACCAAATATGTAATAGACAGGACCTACTCTTTGCTCAATGAACTGGACTCAACACCTCCTATGAACCACAGAGGAATATATGTGACTAGTAAGAATCTTAAAACCTATGTATTGATATGTCTCCTTAAGGGAATCAAGTGTGTGTACACCGGCATAAACACAGCAGTGAAAATCAGCTAAACCCCATTATAAAAATAAATTTCAAAAACAAAAAAACACAAAGAGAGTGAAAGGGAGAGAAATTCTTACAAAATTCGTTCAGGGGATGTGACGCACCCTGAGTTGACCTTATCTACACCCACAGCTGGATGAGACATGAGGCTGGACACTTGGGGCTGAGAGGACTGGTGAGGTTGGCTGAGCAAATGCAGATCCTTTAAAGCAGCACTGCGTGTTACCCATTCAATGGGTCCCAACTCTCCAGGTTTAAGGGAATCTTCTAAAAGCTAAAACATACATGGGAAACCCAGATGATGGTACACCGTGTGATCGCGAAAGGTTTCTAAAACGCACCTCATTTTTCCTTTCCTGGTGCTCGGGTTCGCCATTCCAGCCGCTTTACTAACAACCTCCCTATTTCGAGAGTCAGTGCCTTTAACCTGCTGTTTCGCACAGTTTGCAATTTGTGCGGAGGATGAACGGGAAGGGGGGAACCAATGAGAGATTAGCTGTAGGTGTTTGGACGGGCACACGTCACTGTAATTTCCCACCAGGATTAAGAATTAACCAAAGGCGCAGCCTGCCGCCCCGGAACCAGAATAGGGCCTGAAGCAATCCTGTGGTTTTGCGGACAGCTCACAAAAAAGCGAGTTGAAAAATGGAGCTCAGGTGTGCTGCAATTCACAACCCTGCAGAGTTATAAAGGACAACTATCGTCAAAAAACATATGGAGGTAAGGCAAAGAAGTGGATTTGAAACCAAGGCAGAATTGAAGGAAACAGGTTTCAAGAGGTAGATTGGAGTCTCCTTTAAAGCACATGAAAAGCGGCAGAACTTCGACAATGATGCAGTTGGGCAAAAAGTGCGTCGGCGTTTTTTCCCGAATATAATCAGGAAAAAACGCATACACCTTTTACGGCCAACCAAGTAAGCAGGCAATGTAAACCCACACTAAAAAGAAGTATAACTTCCAACCGTTCAAAAGAGCCAAGAGAAAAAAGTGTACAAACCAGAGAGGCAGGACTGGCCATGGAGAACAGGGAACCTTGTTACCCTGATGAGCGGGATGTAAATTGCCAACAGCCACTCTGGAGAAGTGTATGGTGTTTCCTAAAACATGTATAAAACGGAGTAACAGAGCATAGGGCACTTCCACTCATGGGCATATATCTTGGGAAAACTAAAAATCAACAAGACACAGCCACCCCAAAGTTTAGGGCTGCTCTGTTTACAAAAACCTCGACTTCAGTACACCTTAAATATCCCGGGAAACAGAAAAATGGATAACGAAGTTGTGGTACTTATGTACAATGGAATATAACTCAGCCATGAAATCAATGTCATAAGGCAAGCAGGAGCATAATGAGTGAATTTAGGTATGGTGATTCTAAGTGAAAGAAGTCACACAGAAAAAGAAACTTAACATAAGATATCAATTATAGAGGAAATGTAAACATGGCTACACATGAGCTGAATTGCAAAACAGAACAGAGTCACACATTTAGAAAACGTACTTATGCCTGCTTAAGGGGAAAGTTGAGGTGGGGTGATGCATAAAACCAGAGTTTGAAAGTAGCACAGATACCATTCCATAAACCAAATATGTAACAGACAGGACCTACTCTTTGCTCAATAAAGTGGACTCAACACCCCCTATGAACCGCAGAGGGATATATGTGACTAGTAAGAATCTTAAAACCTATGTATTGATATGTCTCCGTAAGGGAATCAAGTGTGTGTAGAGCGGCATAAACACTGCAGTGAAAATCAGCTAAACCCCATTATAAAAATAAATTTCAAAAAACAAAAAAACACAAAGAGAGTGAAAGGGAGAGAAATTCTTACAAAATTCATTCAGGGGCTGTGACGTACCGTGGATTGACAATATCTGCACCCAGAGCTGGATGAGACATAAGGCTGGACACTTGGGGCTGAGAGGACTGGTGAGGTTGGGTGAGCAAATGCAGACCCTTTAAAGCAATACTGCGTGCTACGCATTCCATGGTCCCCAACTCTCCAGGTTTAAGGGAATCTTCCGTCAGCTAACACATGCATGGGAAACCCAGGTGACGGTACACCTTGTGATCGGGAACGGTTTCTAAAACGCACCTCATTTTTCCTATCCTGGTGCTCGGGTTCGCCATTCCAACCGCATTACTATCAGTCTCCCCATTTGGAGAGTCAGCGCATTTAACCTCCTGTTTCGCACAATCTGCAATTAGTGCGGAGGAGGAACGGGATGAGGGGTAACCAATGAGAGAATAGCTGTAGATGTTTGGACGGGCACATGTCACTGTAATTTCCCATCAGGAAAAAGAATTAACCAAAGGCTCAGACTGCCGCCCCGGAACCAGAATAGGGCCTGAAGCAATCCTGCGGTTTTGTGGCCAGCTCACAAAAAAGCGAGTTGAAAAATGGAGCTCAGGGGCACTGCAATTCACAACCCTGCAGAGTTATAAAGGACAACTACCGTCAAAAAATATATTGAGGTAAGGCAAAGAAATAGATTTGAAACCAAGGTAAAATGGCAAGAAACAGGTGTCAAGATGTAGATTGGAGTCTCCTTTAAAGCACATGAAAAGCGGCAGAATTTCGACAGTGATGCAGTTGGCCAAAGAGGGCGTATGCGTTTTTTCCTGAATATATTCAGGAATAAACGCATACGCCCTCTTTGGCCAACCAAGCAAGCAAGTGAGCAATGCAAATCCGCACTACAAAAAAGTCTCACTTCCAATCGGTCAAAGGGCTATCCGAAAAAACTGTAAAAAACAGAGGCAGGACAGGCCATGGAGAACAGGGAGCCTTGTTACCCTGATGGGCGGTAAGTAAGTTGCCAACAGCCACTCTGGAGAAGTGTATGGTGTTTCCTTAAACATCTAAAAAACAGAGCAACAGAGCATAGGGCACTTCCACTCATGGGCATATATCTTGGGAAAACTAAAAATCAACAAGAGAGAGCCACCCCCAATTTTAAGGCTGCTCTGCTTACAAAAACCTCGACTTCAGTACACCTTAAATATCCCGGGAAAGAGAAAAATGGCTAAAAAAGTTGTGGTACTTATGTACAATGGAATATCACTCAGCCATGAAATCAATGTCATAAGGCCAGTAGCAGCATAATGAGTAGATTTAGGTACGATGATTCTAAGTGAAATAATTCACAGAGAAAAAGAAACTTATCATAAAATATCACTTATAGAGGGAATGTAAACATGGCTACACATGAACTGAATTACAAAACAGAACAGAGTCACACATTTGGAAAACGCACTTATGCCTGCTTAAGGGGAAAGTTGAGATGGGGTGATGCATAAAACCAGAGTTTGAAATTAGCACAGACACCATTCCATAAACCAAATAAGTAATAGACAAGACCTACTCCTTGCTCAATGAACTGGACTCAATATCCCCTATTCACCACAGAGGAATATATCTAACTAGTAAGAATCTTAAAAGCTATGTGTTGATATGTCTCCCTAAGGGAATCAACTATGTGTAGAGCGGCATAAAAACAGCAGTGAAAATCAGCTAAATCCCATTATAAAAATAATTTTAAAAAACTCACAAAGACAGCGAAAGAGAGAGAAATTCTTACAAAATTCGTTCAGGGGCTGTGATGCAACCTGGTTTGAC